TTGCACGTCACTGCACCGTCTGTGCTGCTTCTGCATCCGCCCTTTGTCCACGCCACCCCCTCGCTGGGAACGTCCCCAGGGCCCTGCGCCTCACAGTTGCTTCAACACTTACTCTTATTTTGAGCTCAGGTGTCACCTCCTCTGGGAAGTGCTCCTTGATACCTCTTCTCACCACCTTCCCTCTCTTTTTCTTACACACACACACACACACACACACACGCACACACGCCCTTGTTCTGTGTTAGCACTGGTGGTATTCCAATGGAGTTTAAAAAAAATTTCTCTCCCCATTCGCCTCGAAGATGCTCAGGGCAGTTACGAGGTTTTAGACATATTTTATTTGAGTGTCAATAGATTTTTGAGGAAGGAGGAAGGCGAGAAAGACTCCCGAGGAATGATTCTTGAGTCATTTGGCTTTTTAACTTAATTTTTTGGCTGCAGATTTTAACCATCTGGCTTAATCTACAGTTGGCTGGCCAATCCATGTAGGAGGATGGGTGATTGGCTCCTACAGAACATTTTCTGGTTAAAATCACAGGGAAAATGAGCTTTCAATAGTAGTAATAATAACAACAGCAGCAGGAGGGTGTGCATCCGCATTCACGCTGTCCCCACAGGGCGCCCGAGGGAGCAGTGTGAGAGGCACCCTGGATGAGCACCAGCTGTATACAGCAGAGAACACAGTTATCTTCACGAATGACTAAGGGCCGTGGAGGTGGGAGTGGTTGAAGTTCAGGTTGATGCAGAGCTGGGATACCAACCCAGGCCGAGTCTCCACCCCACCCCTCACCCCCCAAGCAGACTGGAAGGAATGGGCGGCCGGGGAGCCTGGCAAGGGCACAGAGGAGAGCTAATTGCATTTCCAGGCCACCCACTCAGACCTCTGTCCCACCCCCGAGGGTACGCGAGGACCTGGACTGTCCTCCCAGCCGTGAATGAGCTGTAAACCCCTCATTCCTGAGTGCCAGAGCCCCATCCCACCCAACCGCCTCCTTGTCCTGAGGGGAGATCGAGTCCAGTTTGGGAAGGGGAGTGTGGCCGCGACAGCCTGCGAGCCGGGTCTGTGCAGCTGGGTCTAGACAGCAGGTGTCCTGCCGGCCAGGCCCGGGCCACCAGGCTGACCCTCCGTTGACATTTCCTTCGGTTCAGGGGGATTACCCAAATCCAAGGTGGCTAAGCCGCCACCGGGCTCTATGGAAACAGCCCCGCGCTGTCTGCCCCTCCTCCAGCCGCAGTCATGACACCGAGGCTGGCTCTCCCGGCGAGACTAGCTGTGCGAACCCGCAGAGCATGTGCACAATTTAATTTTAACCCGGGTGGGCGAGGGGAGAAGCCAGATGAACTACCAGGACCAATTTCCGAGCCAAATCGGAGTCTGCCCCCAAACAGTGGACCACCAGCGGGGGGGTGCATGCCACAGGGTCCGTGTGGTCCGATGGCTATTACAATGCTAGGTGCACACTTCAGTGATTTACATAACGCCTGGCGGCAGCTTCCGTAGTTTTATAAGCCAGCTCTTTTTTTTCCTATTTTTATTGTATTTCAGTGCTTCATTAATTAATCTGACTAAGCAACAATGTACACAGCACCCTCTCCTGAAGGTTAAAAAGGCTCAAGTTACGTCTTCTTTCCGCCTCTTTCCCACCCGTTCCTTTTCTCTGCCTGGAGAGAACGCTCCCACGTGGGGTATATCTTTCCAGATTCTTCATGCGGGTACATTTATTTTTTTTTATTTTTTATTTTTTTAATATATTTTATTGATTTTTTACAGAGAGGAAGGAGAGGGATAGAGAGTTAGAAACATGGATGAGAGAGAAACATTGATCAGCCGCCTCCTGCACACCCCCCACTGGGGATGTGCCTGCAACCAAGGTCCATGCCCTTGACCGGAATCGAACCCGGGACCCTTCAGTCCGCAGGCCGACGCTGTATCCACTGAGCCAAACCGGTCAGGGCCATGCAGGTACATTTAGGCACATATACCCTGTCCTTTCTGCAAAAACTAGTGACTGTCCTATGCACATTGTCCTCCCTCCCTTTTTTCATTTTTATTTTTTCCCTTCCCTTTTTTAATCCTCACTTAAGGATCTTTTCTTTCCCTTTTGATTTTTAGAGAGAGAGGAGGGGGCAGAGGGAGAGGGAGAAAACATTGATCGCTTGCTTCCTGGATGCACAACCTTTTGGTGTGTGGGACGATGCGCCAACCAACTGAGCCACCCAGTCAAGGCACCCCCCCCCCCCCTTCCGTTTTTACTTAGCAGTACATCCCGACTTGTGTCCGGGCGAACATTCCATTATATGGTTGGGACGTAATTTCTCTAACCAGCCCCCGCTGAGGGACATTTAGGGTCCGGTTGTTGACCGTAGTTCTCAGTGAATACGCACCTTTGCATACTTGCTGCACACGGGAGGGAATAGCTAGGCTGCCAGCTGCCAGCCACATGTTGCTGTTTCCGTCTCAATGAACTTGAATGAATGAAACTGCAAGGCCAGTTCCTTGTCTCAAATGCGGGGGTCAGGGACTGAGCGCTTCCGTGGGGCAGGGTTTTCCTGAACACGCTGCTCTGCAGGGTGCGTTCCCAGGAGGGAACCAGGAGCCTGAGTGTGGACAGCTGCCAGGTTTCCCTGTGAAGAGGCCCTCACTGTTTATGTCCCCCAGGCAGAGCTCAGACAGGGAGAGCACTTTCAATCCAGGACAATAACATGGAATGTGGGGCGGGGCGGGGGGAGAAGCCATCCCCGAGTACTGATGCAGGGACATTGTGTTTCTGTGGTTGCCCCACACTGCGGACACCGCTGTTCTCAGCGTACAAGGGGCACACCTGTCTCGGGGAGCCCCGCACCGCTGTGTCTGAGTGAGGCCTGCCCCCCCCCCACCACCTCACTGCCGCTGCGGTTGCGTCTCCCCCACTCGTTCACAGCCTCGTCCCTCTCCTCCCCCAGGTCCAGGGCCCTCCTCGCCCTGGCTCATGCACCGCCCTGTCAGGGGGCCCTGTCAGGGGAGAGTGCCGTCT